AATTTTTTTGATGTTAAACGAGACATAATTTATTGAGCACATTGTTAACAATTGTTAGTTGGCCGCTAGGGCCATTCGGCCGTGTTGCGGTCCCAACGAGAAGCATCTCGTAGCCTAAGTACCTAAGGATCTAGGGCGGGGGGACGAGGGCGAGGAGGAAAAGTGTGGCACTGGCAGAATTATCACAGGCAATCAGGTAACATCACCCTTAAGAGTCATACGCAGAGAATCTGAGGAAACGCCAGCCAGGAACCTTCGTATCGGTCTGTTTTTAGTCCTACGGTTTATCGCTTCAGAGTTGAGGAGATTTTTAATGTCCACAGGAAAGGAATTATATAGCCTCGTGAAAGCGATAACAGCCGATCGTGAAGAATTCGTACTCTTGGTCAGCTGAACAGATAGATTATCGTTGGCTCGAAATCTGGTGTTGTAGCCATGTTGCGGTCGCTCGAGTTCAGAGAGCCTCGGGTTGAGGAGACAAATGAGACGATACACATAGAGGTGTACGAAGTCGAGAGTATCAGTTATTTCGAATAAGGGGGCCGAGGGTGAGCTCCGAGAAGTTCCAACAACCAATCTTATGGCTCTCTTCTGCATCCTTATGAGCTGATCTAGTGTTTTGAGATAAGTTCCACCGAACAGTGGAATCATGTATCTCAAATGAGACTCAATTAGAGCAAGATAGATCGATTTCCTCAGCTTAATTGATCTCAGTCTGCGTAATCTGTATAGTATTGCAACTCCTGATCGTATTTTACCTAGAGCCCGGGACAGGTGCATCTCAAATCTAAGGTTTTCCTCAAGTATCATGCCAAGGTACTTATACGAGTAAACTCTATCGATTGATGTACAGTCACAGCGTGGCACCTGGCAGTTCGATCTATGTACTCGGATTTTCAGTTCATTATCGACATAGGCCCTGGTCGTAGCCTTACCGAAGAGCATATATTGGGTCTTGGACATGTTCAGTACCAAGCCATTCGTTGTCATCCATTTCGCAATTTCTGAGACACTACGGGAGGCCTTGTCGAAGAGCTCAGGGGTATTTGTATCCTTTATCATTAGAGCTGTATCATCAGCAAAAGAGATGATCTCACCAGGGATATTAATCGAGAGTAGATCGTTAACATAAATAATGAAAAGGAGTGGTCCCAAAACTGAGCCCTGTGGTACTCCCAGCCGGAGCCTAGCCACCGAACTCACTCGAGTTCCCGACACGAAAACCTGACCTCTCTCGCTGAGGTAAGACTCGAGCAGCTTGATGGGTCTGTCTCCAAGTCCATAACATCTCAGTTTAGCCAGTAGTCTCGCATGGTTAATAGTGTCAAAGGCCTTGCTGAGGTCACAGAATACCGCAATCGAAGAGTATCCCTCATCAGCTGCTTTTCTTGCGAAGTCGTATAATCCACAAGCAGCCTCTTCACAGCTCTTTCCTCTCCTAAATCCAAACTGTGAGTCACTCAATAAGCGGTTGTTTTCGAAGTAATCGACCAGCTGGTGTGCGATCACCTTCTCAATGACTTTGTTTAGTGAGGAAAGCAGGGAAATGGGTCTGAAGTTCCCAATATCCGACAAAGGTCCTGATTTGTGTACCGGGTGTAGTTTTGCGATCTTGAGAGACCCAGGATATCTGGAGTCCATGAATATCTTCCCAATTATATATTGAATCGGTCTGGACAGCGCAATCCTCCCATCTCTAAGCATCCGCGTAGGTAGTCCATCGAGTCCCGAAGCCTTATTCCATCAAGTTCTTCCATGAACTTTCGCAATATCTCAAGATTCGGGATCAGGAAGTCATTAAATGCAGATGTCCTAGTCTTCGGTAAGTCCGTGTGATCATCTACTGGGCCAACCGCAGACGAGACCGTGCGTTCTCCTATCGTAGCGAAGTAGTCATTGACTTGATCGATGGACAGCCCAACGATCTCCGTAGATAGAATGCCTCCTCCTTTTCTTCCTCTATAGTGTTGATTTATAAGTTGCCAGGTTTTTCTCGAGTCGTTGGCACCCGTTCAAATTTTTGCTCGAGGAACGATGCCTTTACTCTGTTGGTCAGCTTTCTCAGTGCTTTGTTGTAGCACTCATACTCGATCATTGATGCAATCGTTCCCCTCTTCCTATAAACTCTGTGTAATTTATCTCTCTTCCGCATTGACCTCACGAGCCCCGGGGTGATCCACTCCTTCAAGGGACTCGGTCTCTTTGGAATCCTCCGCACTGTGGAGCACTTCTCGATCAGGTTTTCACACTCTGACCTCAGGAGAGATATAGCGGTATCAGTATGATCAATTTCCTCTATTCCAGTCCAATCTCCCTGATCAACCATATTCTTGAGAAGGTCAAATTCTATCTTCCTGTGTTCCTTCGGCTCTGCCTGGGATATGCCAGCGATCTCGACTAGGAAGCTAATGTTTAGGAGGCAGTGATCGGAGACACCTCTCGAGTCTTCCACAGACACCTTTGGTTCGATGCAGTATCTGCTACACGACCAGGCATGATCTATGAGGCTCCCCCCATTGTCTCCAGGTCTGGTAGGGATATCGTTGTTTAGGCTTACGAGACCAGTCTCAGTCAGACGGTCCATATATTCCTCAGCTGTAGCATTTAGACTGATGAGGCAGAGATTGACGTCCCCAACCAATAGGCAATCCAGAGAAGTATCTAGCCGTCTCAGTAGTCTACCGATACCATCTGCGACAAATAATACCGGGTCTGAGACCGCAACTGAAGGTGATCTGTAGATTCCCGCCAGACGAATTCTCCTTCTCTCTATGATCATCTCTACAACGCAAACATCACAGTAGGTCTCCTCAGCGATTGGGATCTCAAAGCATTGGATATTGTCTCGAACGTAGATTGCCACACCCCCTGAACGATAGGAGGGATTGGACTTAAAGAAGGACTTGAATCCTGGCATACCACACTGACCCTCCAGCTCAGGGTATAACCACGTCTCCGTCAGCACCACTACGTCAACGTCAACACGGGCCAATCGAGTAATGTAGCTATTAATGTTTTTCCGTAGGCTTCTAATATTCAATACCTGGATGGTTACCGATCTCACCCTCCGTCCCTCTCCGCCCCCCCGAGCGGATGTTGGGCTTTCCTCCATACGAACGTGAGAGTACGCTCCCCCATACTCAGTCGGAAACCCGCGACTATCAGAGAGCTCGTGACTTATATCCCATAAGTAACAATTATTATGTATTCTAATGATGCACACAGGTGACAATTAAACATGATGATTCTACTTGTATTGGATGCGAGGAATGTTTGTAATGAAGATGGTGGATTGGGCGCTACTTGAGCTTGATGAGATCCTCCTCGCACCGTATCCAGAACGAAGGCGATCCTTCCGACTTGCGCATTAACAGTTTACCGGGTGGAGTGATCCAGCAATAGTTATACCCTAGCTCTTCGGCTTTCTTCTTGGCAATCCATCTGAGTTGCTTCATCTCTCTCGGTAGATGGGGATAGACAGCCACACTAGCACTGGTCTCGCTGTTAAAGAACATCCTAGCATCCAATCTATTGTTGTGTCTTTTACGATACTCGTTCACTTTCAGTATGAAGCTCGATGCCAATGAATGATTCGACCATTCTGCTATGATGTTCTGGCAGTCACGTTCCCCTAACCTTCTGGGTTTGCCTGTCTTGTACACCGTTATCAGGTCTGTCTTCTGTATTGTCAGGCCGATCTTTTTAGCCATGTTCATCAGTACTATGCCCGGTTCACTGGCATGCTCCACTGGGAATCCAACAATTTCCGTGTTATTCCGTCGAGCGCTGAGTTCAGCTTGTAGGAGCCTGGACTTGAGTTCTGCAGTGTCCTTACTAAGCAGCTCCACTTTTTTGATCACAGGTTTCAGTTTCAAGTCCATGCATTCACTCAGTCGGTCCGTTATCACTTTGTCCAACCTGGCTTCAATTTTGCTCTCCATTTTGGAAAACATCTTCTGCAGCTGGTCAATTTGAGCGTCGTTGAACCCATTTGACATTCTGGGATAATTTCTGGCACGAATAACTTAGAACTAGACTAGTTTTTCACGAATTCCGGTGAGCACGAGGGAAACAGTTGTTTACTCTTGAGCGGATGGATGCATTCTGTCGCTTCATGCTCGAAGATCTGCTGTTGTCTTGGTAGGCCCCGCGGGACGATGTCGTTTTCTCGGCTTCGAAATGTAGAGCCCCGCAACCTGAACATCGATGATTCATGGGGCCTAGATCATGATACTTCGTGGGACGTCTCTGGTAATCACGAGCCATTCCGAGTGTTCGACGCGGTCGAGTAGGTCCATGAGAATCGCGAAAATGATTATTCTGGCCCGGGGATATTCTAGCAGGCTGGTTGTTCTCGAGAGGACTGCGTTAATTGCGTGAGTGTGGGCCATCAGGCACGGCAGGAGAGGAGATTGATAGAGGATCCGCGTCGGTCGGATTGGGTGATAGGAGCGTGGAAGGCCCGAGGACGTGGGCTCCCGATTGGAGTTATCAACTGAGAGCCGGGAATGTCTTTTCCGCAGTCGTCCCTGCTCTCGACGGGAACGATCAGATCGACGGGGGACACCTACCCGTGTATGTAAGACACTCAAAACAAGCGTGAGGCCGCGTCCTCCATTGTCACTGTCGCAGACACCTTCAGTGTATGCGCTAGTTACAGAGGAGGCCGCCAGGCGGCGTTCCGTCGACCCTACTGTCAATAGTCAATGACGTCAGCCGCACAGTCGGTCTCCATAATTTAGAGTAGTTCAGTAATCCGAAAGTGATACCTCTGTGAGCCTTTGAGGCAATCATTCATACAATCGATCATGGAATATAATGAAGAGAATGGGCTTGGGTCACTCATGGAGCTGGCAATGCGTCGCGCGTCGGTCGGCGCGTCTCTCCCGCAAACATCGTGTGCACGTCGAGACGTGCCGATTGGGGCGCGTGACCTCACTCAACCGGAAGGCTTCGCTGAGATAGGAACTAACCGTCCCCGGCTAACCGCACAAGCGAGCTCTAGGAGCAGACCAGGTCAATCTTGACAAAAGTTGCCCAGTGACCCAGTCCACAAACCAAGTAAAGGATTGTTCTCATTGAAGTACGCAACAGTCACGTCGCTGGAGGCTGCCGTAGGGATTCAAGTCTCAAAGAAATGGTTCTGCGACAGTGGGGCTTCCAGGCACAGCACGGCTGACCGAAGTCTGTTCGAATCATATCGGCCGTTCACGATGCCGGAGAAGATCTCCCTCGGCACGAAAGATGCGAAAATGTTTGCCTCCGGTGAAGGAAACATCCGAATGCCGACGAAGAGCGCCGGTCGGCCCACGGAGGTCATTTTGAAAAATGTTCTCTTCGTTCCTGATACAAGCGTCAACCTCTTACCCGTGAAGGTCGCTGCAGAGAATGGTTTCAGCACGTCCATCAACAGACGAGGCGTCGAGGTTGGCAGAGACAGTACCGACGAACTAGTCGTCACTGGATACCCGTCTGGCGGATTGTTCCTTAAGAGTGTCCGCGCCGTGAAACCGGACACGCCGGTCCAAATCAACTTGGTTCACTCAACTCGACCCGTCGAGCTCTCCTTTCCACATTGGCGCTCTCGGAAGAGGCGAGAACCCTGGCGGAACTAACCTCCATCCGGGGGCCGAACAGTGACCCCGTTCCAACACCGACCTCCCCTGGTTCATCTGGCACTCAAACTACCCATCCATCCGCTTCATCTCTTCCATCGCTACGTTGCTCACTTTTCCATTTCGAAGCCAAATCGGCTACGGGTCTCAAGATCCACTCATCTCGCAAACACCCTGAAAATCGAGCACATTCGGGTCACCCGAACGTTAACCCTTCGATTGCCGCCTCAACTCCCCCTAGTCCCGCCGCTGCACCCACTCCTTCACCGGGCAATGTCGGTTCGCCTGATTCCTCATCCTCGGTCGTCGAGACCATCCTCTCCTCCCGGGGAAGATCGAAGTGCTTATCCATCATTCCCCGGAGCGTGAGAAGTACCGTCGCTGCTGAACTCACGGAGGTGCAGAAGGCCGCTTGCTCCTCAAACGACTTCGCCGCGTGGTGTTCTCTTTTTTGATCGCGCGCGGGGTGCTGACATTCCTGTTGTCAGGGTTCGAGGGAGATCTCTTGCACATCTCATACGTGAGAATCTCAACCGGTTTTGACGGGAGAGATTCCTTCCATCGTTCCACCAGTAACCAGTGCCAGCCTTCCCCACCCGAGTACCCTGTTAGGAATCCGAGAGGATCCCAGTGAGTGTTAGCTCACAGAGCATGTCAAATACCTCGTAATAATCGTGATGTTCATATCAGTCCCCCGGCGATCGGGAAAAAGCGAGTTTTCCAATAATTTAAAAGTACGCGGGATAAGAGAGCGAACCTCTCTGTTCATAACATGCAGACGAGAATAAATTGTGTTCAGTGTATGACGTCAAGTCGAAATGCCGGTGTCTTGAAGATCTAGCGTTTTGTCAGTGAAAACATAGGGAATCCCAGCCCGAAGGCAAGCAGCCAACCCCGATCCGAACTATACTTCACACTGGTGCCGTGACCAGGATCATAAAGGCATTGCTTTCGCCGGAGAGTATTCCGCTCCGTGTTCAAGCGCCGGGTGACGATGACGAAGCCCTCTGCAATACCGAAACCGTCGAAGCCCATGACTCCGGCGGTGATCAGATCCCTCCGCACGAAATGCAGAAATCGGGTTTCTGCGATGATTGACCAAGTCAATGCAGTCAGAGCAGAGCACCCGATTGAAGCCAAGCAGGAGGAGCTCGAACCGATCCTCATCCAGCTCAAAGAGGCCTTCGAGAAGATCGAGGCTTATGACCAACTCATCTTCGCCCATGACGAGATCGAGGAGGAACAGCGACTGAGAGATATCGACGAAGTTGAGGACTTGAATCAGCCAGCGCGCCAAGTAATAGCCGAGCTCACTGCGGCTTTGAGCCGAAACAGATCTCCATCTGCACATTCAACCCCAAATGCGTCTACGGCGCATGAAACCCACGCGCTGGAGCAGGATGGCCATGGAGAGACGAGCCGGGCGGCCGAGAGAGCTCCGCAGGTTGTTCTAGCGCGCCCGAAGGCGCTCGACATTTCTCCGGAAACATTCAATGGAGATCGACTCAAGTTTAGACAGTTCATCGTTCAGTTTCAATGCTTCGTGAAGCAAAGGCCATCCTCCAGTCCAATGGAGCGCCTCATGGTCTTGAGAAAATTCCTCAGCGACGAGCCGAAGCGACTAATCAGCTCCCTCGAATTAACCGATGCGAATTACGACGTAGCGATCCGTATGCTCGAAGACAACTACGCAAGAGTCGAGACGGAGAAACAGAGACTTCTCGCAGAGCTCAGGGGTCTCCCCCGAGTTCACCGGCTTGATGACACAAAGGCCCTGCGAAGACTTCTGACGAAAGTGCAGGCTCATGTGCTTACGCTTGAGTCCCATGGCGTACCGCTCAGCCAACTCGCGCTCTCCCTGAAATCATCTCTCGAGTCGGCCATACGCCTGAATTGCGCCAACGATTCAAAGAGAGCTGCCGTTTGGAGAAGCGTTTCTCTGCCCTCGCCCTAATTCGGAAGGTGGAAGTACATCAAGATCATCGCTCCGGAGTCAAAACAATAACAGTCTAAGTGGCGACAGTGATTCCAATGGCGCAGTGGAAGAGATTGAGCAATTATTCGAATTCTTACGCCGCTACGTGATCGATCGTGAGGATGTCGGATTCCTTGATACCGCCACAACGGGTGCCGGTACACGTGAGGAAAATGAAAGCCGAAGGGGAAAGCATCTTGATCGCCGAAAGCACTTCAGCGCAACCGTCGGAGGTGTTTCTCAGAGTGGAGCAGCTACGAGGTTCGTCCGGGCGTGCTTATTCTGCAAAACCACGGAGCACAATACTTCTCGGTGCAAGGCAGGGCTCCCCATCGACCAGCGACGAGACACGCTCACGCAGCAGAAGCGGTGCCACAGATGCTTCCGTTTTGAGCATGAAAACCCGGGACAGTGTCGAGGTCCTCGCGCGCCGTGCTCGGTATGCCGCTCCCGCGAGCATTATACGTCCATGCACGATGGTGAGGTTCAGGGCCAAGAGAAGGGTGCATCTGGGGAACCCGTGAGGGGAACGACGTGCGGAGCCGCTCTCGGTGGAGACACTCTCCTTCTCACGACGTCTGCCTACATAGTGAACGGTGGACTGAGGATTCCGGTGAGGGTTTTCTTGGACCACGGCAGTAGTTTAACCTTCATCTCGCCATCTACCCGTGGACTTCTCAGGACAGAGAGACCGGTTCATCGGGCGAGTTTAAACGTGCACGGGTTCGCGGCCCAGCATACCTTCACCACATCGCGATACCGGATTCGTTTGGCAAACCTCGCTGGCGACTACAATGTTGAGTTGCTTGCTTACGAGTACGAGTTCGGGGTGCATCCTTCGGATCAGGGAGCTCGGCGTGCTGCTGAAGCCATCAGGAGATTTGGCGAAAGCCATCCTCTGGCGGATCCGTCAATTGTTGAGGAGCAGGCGTCTCCGGCTCCAGACATCCTGGTTGGCCTGGACCAGCTATATAAGATCATGTCGATTGGCTCACGCTCGGAAAGCGTTGTTGGAAATCTGAGTGCCTTCGAGACCCGGTTTGGTTGGGTTATTGGAGGACCGGTAACATCAGATTCCGCGAAGGCGTCGGCCGGGGTTGCCGCGATACATCTGGTCTGCTGCACGGCGACCATGTCACAGCCGGCCAAGGATTTGGAGAGACTGTGGGCGCAAGATACGGTTGGAGAATCCGGGGAGGCGTCATTGAGGTCCTTATCGTCTGATGAAGCAGAGGCGCTCAAGCAATTCCACGATAATCTGGAACATGACGGCCGCCAATACGTCGTCACTCTCCCGAAGAGGGACACCATCGCGGGTCTCTCTAACAACATGTCGACGGCTCTCGGACGTCTTGAGAGGAAGATTGATCAGCTCCGAAGAGACCAAGCGAAGTACGAGAGATACCAC